TAAAATTACATTTAAAACAGTTATTGTATAAAGTATACAACATATAGACAACAATAACACGAAATTACGGTAAAAATCTTCAAAAATTCAGCCCTCTTGAGAAATATTTTTGACATATTGTAATCGAGCAAAAAAGTGAAAATCACAAAAAAAAAAAACCCGCAAGTTTGGGTCTTACATCTTCTTCTTCCATCCAATAAAAGCTGAAATTAGAGCTTTGGATTCTTGGGAGTTGAATTGCAAGTGACAGATGATGGAATTCTGGGATTCTATGGCATCGAATTCGACTGTGAGAGAGAATGGGGTTTTATGGTTTTTATATGGATCGGGCGGGTTAAATGAATTTGGGGCAACAGTTTAACGCAAAACCCGGCGGTTCGGTTGTATTTTTTTGGGTTGACTGCTTAGTTAAAAAAATTAGGCTGCTCGGACCGGACCATGGTTCGATCCGACAGGTTCCGGATCGAACCGACCGGTCCGATCCAGGTTTATTAACACTAGTTATTACCCTTGAACCTAAATATATTTGTTAAGTATTTTTTTTTTTGGTAGGGCTGCTATCATTAGTGGATTTAATTAAGGGGTTTCAACCCTATCCTACTTGATGTCTATCTTACTAACTCTATCATGAGAGATTTAGTAAACAAATTCGCTAAGATCTCACTAGACTTAACAAATGTAAGAAAAATTATTCCATACTTTATTAACTTCTTTACATACTCATGTTTTAAACTCATATGTCTAAACTTTTCATTATATACTTCATTATAAGGTCGAGCAAGAGTAGCCTGTCTATCATAAAAAGTAGGTATTGAAGAAATATCCTTTATATCTAAAGGTATTTCATATAATAAATCTCTTAGCCACTCAAATTCTTTTCCAGTTTCGGCCGATGCTACAAACTCCAACTCCATTGTTGAGTGAGTAATGTCAGTTTGTTTCTTAGACTTTCAAGTAACTGCACCTTCTCCAAGAGTAAATACCTAACCTGAAGTGGACTTATTTTCTCTTGCACCCGATATCCAACTTGCGTCAGTATATCCTTCCAATATTTTAGGGAACATTGTATATTGTAGTGAAAGGTTTTTGATTCTCTTTAAATAACCAAGAACCCTACCAATGGCCTTCCAATGTTTGGAACTTAGATTTCTAGTAAACCTACTTAGTTTACTCCCAGCAAATGCGACATCAGGTCTTGTACATTGTGGTGCGTATATAAGACTTCCAATTGCACTTGCATATTCTAATTGAGATATTGCTCTACCATCGTTCTTTATCAATTTGAACTTGGATCTAACGGGGTATTATCCTCTTTATTGTTCAAGTGTTTGGACTTATTTATCACATTTTCAGTATAATGTGATTGACTAAATGTAAAACCCCCAACTATCCTTTTTAATTTTGATTCCAAGAATAGTATCCACTTGTCCAAGATCTTTCATTTTGAACATGGAGAATAGAAACCTTTTCGTTTCTTTAATTCCGTCTATATTGTTTCTAATGATCAACATAGTGACATATTAATGTGATTACACTATCATTTATTTTAGTGTAAATACATTTGTCTATCGAGTTATGATTAAAACCATTCGACATTATTTTAAAGTCAAATTTCTCGTGCCACTTTTTAGGGGCTTGTTTTAATTCATATAAGGATTTGATTAGTTTACACATCTTATGTTCATTTCCCGGTAGAACAAACCCTTCTGTTCGTTTCATATAGACCCCATCTTCGAGATTTCAATTTAAGAATTCATCTTGACATCCATTTGATGAACATGTAAATCATATATAGATGTTAGTGCAAACAATATCCTTATCGAAGTTATTCTAGCCATAGGTGCATATGTGTTAAAGTAAACTATTCATTCCTTTTGACAATACCATTTAGCTACTAATCTAGCTTTATAGGTATTGAATATTCCATTGGAATTATATTTCCTTCTAAACACCCATCTGCAACCAATGGATTTAGAACCCTTTGGTAAATAAACTATTTTCCAAGTGTTATTTAAAATAATAGAATCCATTTCATTATTTATAGCTTTTTTCCAAAATATGCAATCTCTAGAAGATATTGCTTCTTTATAGGTTTTAGGATACTTTTGACTTGAAGAACGAAATGAATTGTTCTTGCAACATCACTCATATCTCCATCTACTAGGTATAATGAAAGGAGTTGGGAATCCAATTCATCCGAT